GAATGGGGAAATAAATTAAGACCTGACTGTAGAGTCAGACAGTTGGGAGGGAGGGGGGGGATAAGAGGGATAGAGGTGCAAAGAAGTGATGTGCCATCAGATCTCCTGGACTGGCTAAAGTGGGAAGGTGGAAATTACATTTAAAAAAGGGGGGTGGGAATTGAATGGCTCAGGAGGTGTCTCATGAAATTTTGCTAAGATTTAAGACTATGAGACACTAGAACAGCAGCTCTCAAGGTTTTTAGGCTAAAGGCATCTCTCAGAAAATGCCAGTTCCCAACTTATAGTTGTTTCTTGCCTATAGAAAAGTGATAGACCAAATCTTCTTACAAGGATCTCAGAATGTTTTTGTCACTTTGGATCCCTATTTTAGATCTCTGGGTTTAGCTTATGAACCGTTTACAGGTGTTTGCACACCTAATATTGTATGACATTTTAAAGAATCTCAGGAAATCCCAGGGTGCTATGGCAACCTGGCTGAGAATCACTGAACTAGAACCATCGAGCAGGGTTTCTTGTAACAGTCCTTCAGTTTAGGCATCATAAGAAAGAGTGATCACCTACCCCGAACACATGATAAAATCTGATGCACAATATAAGCAGAAACTGATTGCTTTAACATATTTATTATATTTAATACATAAGCAAGAGACATTTCTCTAGAAACAGCAGTCCAGCTGCAGGCTTCAGAGCACTATAATGTTACATTACAAAATGCTGGCGTAAAATTAATAGTACATTTTCATTTACAAAAATAGTAACCAGAACATGAATTTTATTGAAGAGAAATATGAACAGTTATTTCAAGTTATTTTTAAGGGTTTGTAAACAAGGTCATTTTTAAAGCTTGGAAATATTTCAATTTAACAATGTCTTTAAAGAGACATTATGATTAAAACAGTTCTCAACAACCTTTTTATAGTTGGTATGAAATGTGAAAAGCATGCTAGATTACTTTATTGTGCTATGAATAGCAATCCAAGACCCCAATTCTGGATAATACTCTTATTAAGAAAGGGCTTTTAAACAAGCGCCTAACTCACAAAAAAAAAAGTTCTGCACATATTTAAATGCTTTCTTGAATGGAGCTCTCTTAATAGCATTAAGAAATGCACATATTTTGGCCCTTCTCTCCTGAGATCAACAAGATTTAAGCTGGAGATTTCTACAATATGAATTTAAGTCTTTGCAGGGAATTTAGAAAGTCAAAGATGCCTATAATAAATAAGCTACTCAAGTGATATAATCCAATTTCAAGACACCACCACTGTAAAAAAAAAATCACTTCCAATTTATACCATGCTGAATCTGCTCATATGCCACTACTACAGTTTGAAAAACAGAACTTTCTTTAAACCATGAAAGTTATTCTTACTGTTCTGCATTTTTACACACTTAAGGCTCAATTTTCTAAAAAGTAGCAGATTATTAAGCATATTACTGAACACTACAGAAGAGATCAAGCAGAGTAGTGGTTTGATATGTATTCATAGCATTAAAAAGACATTAAAAGTCATCTGACAGAGAACTGAATGAGAATGGCTCACTACATAAGTATGTATTTAAGCATCATCTGAACAATTATTTTTAGAATATTTTAAGATTGAAATGCATTCCAACATAAATCACAACAGCCATGAAGCAGTAACCCAGAGGCTATGTAAGAGATTAAGAGATTCAAGTATGCTGGTAAATTTAATACATATTTAGGCATTAGTTAAAACCAATGTTTCATGGTTAACTGACTTAAGACATTATGTTGATCCAAACTAGTTTTAGCTGCTTCTGGTAGTTGCAATTATCAGGAAAACAAAAAAGTGCTCTTCATCTGTTCGCAAGGCTCCCCCTACAGATATCTCCAAAATACTTTGAAAAGTCTGAATTTAAAAATATTGTTCTTCACAACCAATTTATTTCTATACTGTATACTGTTTGGTTCTATGCTTCAACGTTTAGGACAACATTTCTTATTTCTCAAAAGATCAAACACTACAGTAAACTGATTCTGAATATAGGATTCCCTCTCAAGTTCAACAGGCACTTTAACTGTACAATGAACTGTTCTCAAAAACTGTTAAGAATAAGTCACACTAAGTCATTTCTTTCTCCATATTTTTTGGAAATATATTTAGAAAAAGTTTACATTTAAGCTAAAGCAAAGCAGTTAAGACAGAGCCCACCTAGAGCCAAATGCTACATTTTTAATAAGATTTCAAAATGTGCCAAACTTCATCTGCTGGTGATCCGACATCTCAGGCACAAATCTTTTCTAAAAGCTTCAGGGAAAGCAGGCAGGGAGAGGTAATTATATCTTATTTTTCAAAGTCCTCCTTCAAATATACTTTGCAATTACAGAAATAGAACTGGAAATGCAAGATAAATGTCTTGAAGTTGTTTATGTCTGTGGAACAGTAGATACATGTACTCTTTGGAGCTCTCTTATGCAGAGGGCAACTAGGCCTAATTTCACACAGAAAGATTCACTCATGACAGTAGAGCTGCAGGCTTGCACATTTTGATATATTCACTTAAATCCAACCCACACATCTCAAAGTCAGATCAAACCTAAACATTGTTCATAGAGAAGGGCTCTGGAAAACCCAGATAAATTTCTAAATGAATACATATTTCCTAAAAAAAAAAAAAAAAAATTATTTGGACTTCTATTCATAAGATGGTCAAATATTCTAGCTCTAAAGCTGTCTTACAGGATCTCATTTGTATAAGGGTGTCAAGACTGACCAATATGCAAGAATAATTTCTTCTACCATTTTAGACCGCCTCTTCACTGAAGGCTCACAACCTAGACCAAAGGTTGAAATGATCAGGAATTGATTTGGGGAAAAACTGAGGAGGGAGACCACCTCAGGAACCACCTGGGCAGCTACTAATGCAACATAGTTCCAAAGTAACTTTTGTGTATTCAATACTGGCAGCTGTACTAGCCCATACAACAACTACCAAGAGACACTCAGAATAATCTGTCTGCCTCAAGTGATAGAAGTGGAGGCAGGAACGTCTCCCAATAGGCTACTATGGCATGATATGAAGTGTGGAAGGTAGAACAAAACTGAGCCAAGTACACTTTAAATTGCTGTCTGGGCCATAATGGTAGCTACCTGGATGGGTTAGCAGCATATTCCCTTCTATTAAGGAAAGTCTTACCCTTAGGAATCCACTCATACAGGTAGTTAAAGCAGTAGGAATTACTAAACCCAGCAATATAAAGTTCAGCATGTCATAAGTTTCCAACTAAACAATGTTTCTGTTCAGAGATGGTCACAGTCATTTTGGAGGCACAGAGGAAATACTGTAGGAGACCTGGCACTACAGAGCTCACCAAGGATTAGGCATGGAGATGAGATGAAATGAAAACGTCCCCCTCAAGGAGTCAGCTTTCCAAAATACAGCAAAGTGGGTCAGGGAAAGAAATGTCTTCCCTATATTCATGGAAACAGAGGGGAAGGGGAGGAAACACCCTCACCCAAACAGAAGTCAGGAGCTCTTTTCCTCTTGGGTTAGAGGTGGGACATGAAGGAGCAGGCAAATTCACCTTCTTCATAGTGGATGGTAGGACAAGGAGTATCCCCTGGGTGGGCCCAACCTATGACACTAATGTCAGCTTTAAACAAACAAACAAACAAACAAACAAACAAACCAACCACTTAAGCGTTTGGCTCAAGGGAAAGAAGCAGCAAGTTGTGGAAGCAGATCCATCCCCAAGAGGAAACTGTATTTTGATTCTCCGACCTGGAGCATCTGTTTTGAGATTCAGTCCTGATATTTCTTGGATTCTTTCTTCAGCCTTCCATTGTCTCTTCCCTTTACCTTTCAGGGCAGCTGGAAAAAGAATGAAGCAGTAGACTGAGGCATGGATGCCACATTTCCAGAACAAGAAGGCAGAAACACTTGAGATGAAGTAGTGCTAGAGCGAATACCTTCATAAGTACCTTTACCTTCTTACTTCCTGTTAGGTTGAGAGACACACTTACAGATTCATTTTAGTATGACAGTGGCAAGAGGCAATGCTAGACATGCAGATTTTGATCTTGATTTGATGCAGCAAAAGTGGCTGAACTTTCAAAATAATTTTAAAACCGCCATAAGTTAAGAACAATGTGGTTTTTTTGCTCCCCAGAAGGAGGTATTCAAGCTTGTTGCACATTTAAATATCTGAAAAGTTTCTAACATATTTAAAAAAAAATTGTGAAATGGAACATTCAAAATTTCCCCTCCTGTTTTCTGACAAGCTCCAGTTACCAGCAATTTAAAACAGAGGTTTAGAGTAAAAGGGCTATTTAGCCACAACCACCGTCTATACTGTGGCAATGGAATAAACAGTTATCCCAACCGCTTCACGCAAAAATAAAGTAATTGGACATAAAAAGGTATCTGTACTTACCTTAAAAAAAGAAAAGAAAGAAAAACGTCCTTTATTTAAATGAGGTCCCTCCCCCTGCTCCCACTCCTCAATAGAAGAAATCCACAGATCCATTAGTAAAGGCCTCTTTGCAGAATCAGACCCGTCAATCTTTGCCAGAAAGGTAATCCCCTTCTGAAACACCTTCAATTAACAGGGATCCTTCTGATATCCACATCTAACATGGCTGGAGAACACATGAACACCTGTCTTTATTACTGCATCTGTTAAACCAGTTTTCTTTTGCATGGTGAACTGGATCACTGGACCTTTACTAACGCAAACGTGCATGACAGTTCTTATTCATCAGAACAGAATATGTAGGATCTAAACAGTGAGATTTTAAATGACTACTGTACAGATGAGTTATGAAGAATGAGGTGAGGTGCATTAATAGTTAAGCCTGCTTTTGTTAACAGAAGGTTTGTCCACCTGCAATATTCTATGGTTAAAACCAGCATTGGCTGATGACCTTACATTTGGAGGCTGACATACCTATTTCCCTCTGATGCATATCCTACCAATGTTCTGCTTACTGCCTTCAGTAAGAGCATGCTCTGATGGCTGACAGGAATTACATTCTTTGCTTTATTTACTTTGAATATACCGTGTTGAATTCATCTTTGGGAACCAATTTGGGTATTTTCTTGCCTTTAAATAAAGAGCAGTAATAACTGACACTATCTTCAAAGCATACAATCTGTGTCATCAATGCATCCCAGATATGTTTAGCATCTCCAAGGTGAGCCAAGGAAATATTTCTGCTTTGAGAGACTGAGATGGCTTTGTGGACCATGCTCTGGGCTCTGTAGCAAGAACTCAGACTCAACTTAGAACAGGTCCCTCCTGTCAGAAATTCCATTAAGAGACAGAAGATGAGAAATTTTCTTCCCTAAGTATTGAAACAGGTGACAATTAAAAGGCATGAGAGGATTCATCTACTTCAAGATCTTTTAAAAATAAAAATTGCAGATTTAAGTTCGTTCTCCATTCAGTTCATCCTAGGAAATTGTGGTGAAATCTTTTCCATTTAATGTTTAGTAAGTTACTTAATAATTTTCTTTGTTGCTTTCCTTTGATTGTTCACATATAAATCTTTATTTTAAGAGCATGATCTTCTGTGGATGATTCTGAAACCCTCTGGTAAAAATAACTTATTTGAATTTTCTTATTACTTTTTTGGTTCAAGTGGGCAATTGCTTCACTTCCTCCCAGGAAGACAGCTGTCTGTTCTCATGCTTTTTATCTTTCCACAACAGTTTCTCAATTGCACACGTCTGTCTTGAAAACTCTGAGGAATACAAAGAAGGCACTTCTGTTTTGCTTTTTGGGTTTTTTCCTCTTACAGCAACCAAAATCTTTGATAGAACTGCTCCTCTGGTTGGGTTCCAATGAACAGATCTTTTTGAGCTAGAGATATATAAATTCTTCTGCACCTTTTGGCAAGAGAGCTTCTTATTTTCCTTGCTTCTGTTTACATTTTTTTTCAGATTTGAAGATGGAGGAAAAAAAGAATCTGATGTACCTGAATCCCCCTTGCGAAAATCTTACAGGGATCCTACTCTTTCCTTAGGGTATGAACCTATACAGCAAGTGTTTTCTTGCCCCAATTTGATCATTTTTGTGATGTTAATTTTGATTACTGGAATAGGGCTTCTGGGCTGGGTTGTATACAAATCTGAAAGATGATTCTCATGTATTCATTGCGCAGAGAGTTTGCAGTTTCACTTATGGCAGAGGGAGAAAATTCTGGTTGGGTACCAAGACAGCCAGGTTTAGAAAGTGGACTGATGGGATTAGCTATTACTAGTCTGGCGTATTGGCTGTGCTACATGCTGGTCATCTTTCTGCAACCGTGGCTCTGTTCAGAACCCAGCAAGAGAGGACATAGTGTAAACAATGTGGAATATCCTGTCTGAAAAATAAGCAAAAATCCACATTCATGTGTTTGATAAACAAAGGGCAGTATAAGCAGCAATACTTCCCTTTTCCTTTCTTTGTCTACCAGTTTGCCATGGTGACAATAACATAAATGTGTACACATACTATGATATCTTAGTGAAAGAATGTGCAACCAAAACCTGATACCATATTATATGCAGTTAAACTGTATTTTTGACAGTCCTCTTATTCAGATTAAGAAGAAATTCTAGCTATTTCAGTTAATAAAAAATAATACTGATAACACAGGCAAGAAAGAGGCACAAGCCAGCTGCAGACCCAGAAGTGAACAGGCTGGTTCTACAGAAGGAGAGATTTTTGCCCTGCTGTGATAGACAGATCTAGTTCTACTTCCAGGATTATTAGAGGCCAAAAACCCAACACAGGATCTGTGGACCCACAAACAGCTGAAGCAAGCTGTTACTAAGTATGCAATAGGATAGCAAGAGTAAATGCTAAAGAAATAAATTTGTTCTGAAAATTCACACCACTATGACGCATACAGTCACTGTCAAAAATGTCAACAATGAATGTTGAAATGATTGTTTCTCACAGAGTTCCACCTATAACTGACACTACTTTTGTGGAAATAAATGAATATTTTTCTTTTTTCTTTGAAGATAATATAGTTGCCCAGTACAGCTACTACAGCTAATAGGTAACTACTGGAAATGCTAACAGACTATTTTGAAGATTTTATAACACAGCTATATAAAACTTGCTTAGGGCTAGACTTGGCATAAAATGTCTTGTGGTAGTGATTTACTTTCTTGCAAACCAAATCTGGTCTAACTCATATACATAGGGAATTAATGACAGATGCTGCCTTTTTTTCTTAGGCAATTCATATATACAGACAGATATGTTTGTGTGTGTATTTTTATATACATGCATAATATATATCTATAATACATATACGAACATGTAGATATAGGAACATCTATTTTATATATTTATAATATATCTATATATAATCTGTATGTATTCAATATATGCACTCATGTATATATACGTAAAGATAATAAATATATATAAAATATAATATTGTCAAGAGAGTCTTAGCCAGGGCTCAGCAACCTATACCCCACTGGCTGAACTTGGCCCACAGAACCTGTGGACATGGGGTTTCAGAGGCATTTGGCTCTGAGCGCTCTCCCCATGCCACCACAGGAAAGAGCACTAGCTGTGGGATGCTCCCCACATGCCACCAAAGGAACAAGTGGCAGCAGTTGAGTGCTAGCACCTGACCATTTCTGACCCAGGACGAGTCAACCCGGCCTGTAGCTGGAAGATTGCTCACCCCTGATCTAAACTCTTTATAGAATTCCATGTTCTGAGACTCCAATGTACAGCCTTATACAAGCAGAATCTGAACCCCTAAATGAACTGCTCCTACCACCTAAGTACTATTTGTATTCTCATCCCCTTCATGCTTGTGGTTTCACTTTTGTTATTGTTGGAAGGCTCGAACAAGTTTGGGCAGTGGAATTTGAACAATGGGATTTGCAATGAGATCTGGAGTTGGCTATGCTTGGCTGATTTAAATTCTTTGCGAGAGAGAATTTGAAAAGGGATAATATTTTTCAGAAATGCTTAAGTGACATAGGTGCTCTCTTGTTTTCAAGACTTAACTTAGTCACTTTAGAGCTTTATCCCAGTTAGAAAAATCATCCTCCTGTTCTTTAAAATGAAACCTCAAGTCTTAATAACCTGATCTCCTTGACTGAGTTTGGGATCTTTATGGGTTAATGCATCAAGTAGCCTGGTCTCAGGCATCTGTTCCAGACCTTCAAGTGTGATAAGACGTCTGAATTGATCTGAAAAGTGACCAGGAGAATAAAACTATATGTGGAACAAGAGATTCTCAACATCGTGTTTTCACCCAAGAGAAAAGATGCTGTATGCACAGTAAGTTAAATACAAAAGAGTTTGCATTTTTCCTCCTATTTCACACTGCAATGCAATTGTGGGCTTCATTGGCTCAGGTAGATAATAAAATTCGTTCCACATAACTCTACTAAAATTATACCTGGAAAATATTGTCACTGGTTTAGGACAGTTGCACTGTTACTGGAAAGGAGCTGATCAGACAGAAATTAAGGACCAACTTCATAAGCATTAACTAGAGCAACTAATACCTGAAAATATATTTAAAAATCAGGGAGTCCTTATTTAAGTCACGGCTGAGAAAATGAGACAATTTAAAAGTATATGAAGACTGTAAAGATCAAGGAAGGGGGAGGAATCAGTGGGACAAAGAGGTTAAACAAGGAGGCATGGGATTAAAGTTTAAAAGGATAATTTAGTTCCTCTCAAGGGAAATATTCTGATAATGAAATCCTACAGACTGTGAAAGAGACATCCCAGAGCACAGCCCAACTACTATTAGGACTTGTAGTAGAGATAATATCCTGTATTAGACCAACAAGATTTTTGCAAAAAATGTCTTTAATTGCAAGCTTTCAGGCACAAACACCCTTCATCAGGCACTGGAGAAGTGATTGTAAAATTTCTCCAGGGTAGAAATGAAAGTCCTTATTTCATAGGATTTCACAGAGGAGTCAACAGATGGCAAACTTCTCTGGGCAGTCCATTCACAGCTGGTATGAAGCCTCTCACCACTATGTGAGGTTCTGTGATGAACACTACCCTTGCCTACACACGCGCACACCCCCCCCCACGCCCCTGCCTGCCCACGTGTGCACACACACATCCCCCCACACCCCTGCCTGCCCACACACACACACACACACACACACACACACACACACACAGAGCCCCTGCCCCTGCGCACACAGCCCCTGCCTGAGCACGCGCACAAACACCCGTACCAGTGGGACCCTGGGCTTACTGGTCTGGCCATGCAGCCAGGAGCCACATGGTATTGAAGCAGAGTGGGGGCTCAAAGCAGGGAAATGGCTGGGGGTGGGCAGGGCTGGGCTCCTGCCTCCTGCTGCCAGCTCCCCCTGGGTCCTACTGCCCTTGGCTCATGTCATCTTTCACAGGCAGCCAGGAGCTCATAAATATTTTATAAATTTTTATGTGACCCTGTGGGCCAGATAGAATGGCCAGCCCACAGGCCGTATTTTGCCCGCCCCTGCTCTAGATCAATATGGCTACAACCTGGATACCCAACTACTATTAAGTATTTAAAATTATCTGGAAAAGTGCAAGAAATGTATTGTAGGGATAAATACAAGTTAACAAGGGATGGACTACATAACCAAGGAATCTGCTCTCATTACTGCTCCAGAACTAGTGCTTAAATGCACGTACTGCCCTCAGTTTTTCAAATAGTTAGGGCACCAGTGATTCTTCAGCTACTTTGCTGGCTGGTTTCCTCATATAAATTTAAGAAGGGAAGGGGGAAGCAAAGCAAGCATTACTATGAATTGATTTAAAAAGATTAATATCAAACAGCCTGCCATTAAGAGAATCCAGCCAGCAGTACAGCCCATCAGAACACCAGAAATGTCAAATTTCTAGTTTTTATAAAAGCTTTTGTTGTTATACGTTTTGGTCTGAACAATCATTAAGCCCCCCCCCCTTTCCAGCAGGGCTCTGGTACTACCCACTGTGGAAAGCTGCTATCCAGTGATACAAACCATACTGGATTAACACACATTTGATTTAGACAGATGAAGGCCAATTCAGACCAATATGGTTTCTAATTCACAGATGACCTCCATCTCTGATTTGGTGAATTTACATAAAGCCAAGAAGCTCTTCTTGACCTACTGTACCAAGGGCCTCTGAAGTTAAGACTTTTTTGTTGTTGTTTTCAGTTTTAAATACAAGTCATATTACTGCACATTTAAGTTATGCTACTAACACCACTTTGAAGTCAAAGCCACACACATAAGAGGGGGGAAAAGAATAATCTATGCTTCCATGCTATCTCTCATTATAACAAATAACATATTTCACAAAAGCTGTGCATAAAGTGTTGTAATGTTTTTATAATTTTGGCCTGTTTCATGGATACCAATTACTTCATATAATGGTTTTATAACAGCATCTTTAAAAATGTTTGTTTAAAAAGGTAAGCATATTTTAAACACTCTTTATAAGAATTCTAGAAAAGTAGAATTCCCTTGTTTCCATCAGCTTTTATATGCCAAGTGTAGCATAGAGCAAACTTTTACAGCCTAGTTAAAACACATTTTTAAAGTAAGATAAATAAATTTTAGTGGCTCTAATATGATTCCACTAAAAGGAAAGGCCTTCTTCTCAATTATCAAGAAACTCTATACCTGAAAAAGAGTATTTGAACTGATGAGAAGACACCACTCTTTCACACAAAATTCAGTTTTACTTTTTCTTCCCTTTCTCCCTCCATGCCTTTTTTCTCTTTTAAGGAGGTAATTTTTAGAGAAAGTTACAAGACTTTGGTTAAGTATGTCATAGTATCCGGAATTTATTTCAAATCATTACCTAAAGCTTGCCATTCCTTTAAACTAGCAGAGTATTCCACTTTTTTTTCAATATTCAGCAACAGGTTTGCCCATTATTTAATTCAGTTATACCTGCAGTTAGCTTATGTACATTTATATCACATTTTTTACACTGTTTCCCACTCAATTCCTAGAATTCCGTCATATTTCCTACACTTCTCCAGCATCTTTCAACCAGTTTGAATTCTGCTCATGTCAGTTTCCAGTTTTCTATGCTACAGATGAGCAGTGTTAAGGATAAACACTCCAAGACTGCTTGACAACCACTCCAAAAGATGCTAGCCACATTTTTTCAAACTGAATTTCACAGGTGACAAGTTTATAGGCTTTTCTCCTTAAGTATTAGGATCTTGTCTTCTTTTCCATGACTTTCTTTGATGTTTGTAATCTCTAGGGAACTCAAATACAGCAAAAGGTAAAGAAAGTTTTGATCCCTTACATACAGTAATCCTATTCTCAGTAAGTGTGTATCCCTGCATTAATGCTAAGTCAAGAGTAATACACATGCATTGAAAAGAAAAATACATTAAATAACTAGCACAAAAACACGTAACTTAAAAAAAAAATTGAAAGTGCAGTTCTACTCTGAAAAAGACCCCAAAAGTAGGGTTGTAAGTTTCAGCACCAGTATCCATATGAAACGAACTCAATTTTCAAATTAAAAGATAGTTACCTTATTTTTAGCCTTGTAAGAATCGAAGTGCATTATCTGCTACCTTCATGAGCAAATACAGGTTCTAAGACCACAACAGGCCCTCATATACACAAACTGGAATTTAATCTTACTGTATAACTGATGCTTCCATAAGTAATATTGGTAAAAAGAATGCTAAAAAGAATAAGAAATAGCAAACGCTTGATGCCTACCATGTGATGGCTATATACAATGAAAAAAATGACTGAAGGCCCTGGCCTTTGCAAAGGCTTATCCACACTCTATGAATTGTGTGATCAGGACACAGGTTCTACAGAATAAAAGGCTACACAATTATATAAGTATCTTTCAGAGTACAGTTGCACTGGAAAACTCTTATTATTTTATTCTGCCTTTCCCAGCATGTGTTAACAGCATATGAAATTTGGCCAGCCTAGTCCCAAGCTGTATTCAGCTGTTCTTAAAATAATTCTACAATTGTTTTGAATTAGCCATTTTTTTCTTTATAAAAGTTCTTTGGTTTTGTTTTCTTCTTGAACTATCCCTGCAAATCTACTTATATTTTAGTGTCAGGAATGAAAATATCCATGTATAGTTCTCTTAGACCATACTGAGGTTCTCTTGTGAGAATTATTACTAGGAAAGGTTGAAATAAGTTGATTAAGGTGGGGGCTATTCCCAATTTTTTGTTCACTTCATTTTAAATAAAACTCTTTTCTGTTCCTAGTTGTCCTAGATCTGTTCTCCATGCAAGCATTTCACCTACCTGCTTTGAACAGTGAGACCTCCCAGCTTTTGCACTAGACATAATTAACTTTGGTAATGCCTCTTCCCAGGCATACTAGTACAAAGTTAGACTCTGTCCTTCTGTATCTGTTAAAATATTAGCATGCGTTTTAGGATGCTTATAAAAATGCTGAAGGTATATAAAAGCAAAATAAATAGAAATATGTACATGTGTCTATTCCTAGCCTATACTTTTTATTTCGGTATAAATACAAAATATTGGAAAGCAATAACGTTTGCACCAAAATTTTAAAAGAGAAAGAAAAGAACTTACCCCACTGACTCATCTGTGCTGAAGAACGATTAACCATATCTTAGTTTTGTCTCTCTCTCAGGGCCCCCTCCATTTGAGTCAAGCCTTGACTGACAAAAATGAACATGGTCTAGGGCAGATAAGAGGAACTTCCCACTTGATTAAAAAAAAAAAAAAAAAAAAAACA